AGGGCGGACAGTGGGAGAAGGTGCTGTAACTGCTTTGATATGCACATCAATGGTACCAGTTTTCTTTTGCACTTTGCTATATTTTAATAAATGCCATTAAAATTTTTACAATTTTTCATGGATCTCATTGATTTTGTTCTCTTAAACTAAGTGTCTCCAACAACCTGCAATGCACAATCTCTAAGAGGGGTAGGTCCCTGAAACCTTCATAATAAACTTGCTCTCAAAGTTGAGAACCTCTCTGTCTAGCTCAAAAGTTTGTAGGTCTACAATGTAATTTCTCACACCAGAGACTTTCAAAAATTCATACAAGTTATTTTGTGACTTTGTACTTCAATGTTATGTTAAGGTCAGGTGAAGAGAATCAGAGGAAAAAGAAAAGTGGAAGGAAAGCGGGGAGATTATTTGGTATTAAGAACACAACTTAACACCTTACAGAAGTAGGTCCTTATTTTCGTTAAAATAAGCAGAAATTCTTACTTCAGGAGCCTTAGCAAATAGGAGTTTAGCAGTTAAGTAATAAAAATAAAGCTAGATATACAAAAACACAGTCAATAAAAAGTTTTAAAGGCAACCACTTTTAAACATTTGCTGGCATAAAATCATGCTCTAAATCCTTTTTCCTGAATTCCCTTTAGTTGTTCAGGGAACACTGGTAATGGCATTGCGACTTGCTGAGACAGATCCTCCCAAGAACTGTTACATAAACTGCATTTCATCTTACAATGTTCAAGTCAAACTTTTATGAGCTGAAATTAATTTTTTTTTTGTTTGCCCTTATAATTTGGGCAAGGGGTAAGCACTTTTTGGTAAAAATGCTTACACAGTAAGACCTTTTTGCAAATTGCTGAGGGCAGGGAGAGAAGAGAGCTTAACAATAATCACTGTCTTGTTCTGTTATTTAAAGTACAATGAACTGACCCACACATACATAGAAAGATCACAGGTTATTTAATATAGGTATGCAAAACAAAACTGTAAAATCACAAAATTGCAGTTTGCAAAGCATGATTTACTTTAACCGTGGAAAGAATTCATATGTTTCTTTGAAAAGAAAAATATTTGCTAAAAATCAAAACAGTCATCAGAAAATGGGATGTTAATGGCAAGAAACTCCTGCAGAATAAACAAAACAGACTGGTCAGTGACACTCATACTAAGGAAAGCATAAAGCAGCGTGTTATGTTCAGATCTGGAGCAGAAGACAGCGCACCCTCGGAAAGGCAGGCTGAGCAGCATTACACACAACCAGCATCAGGCTTCCCTAAACGAGCTCTGCCAGGACTAGTCTACTTTCAGTTCCTGTAATGGCACCTCTTCCTACATCTGGTTCCTTCATCTAGTTGAACCTTTCTTCCAATATTTTTCATCTTTGTGCTGCTTAAGGCTTCAAGTCTCAGCTTTCTTTACTCCACATCTAAATTAGATACCCCCTTTCCCCCACTTATTATCTCCCTAAGCACCTTATAATCTCCCTCCACAATATTTCTGGTATTCTATTATATCTATATATTACATTGTATTAGTATATGTTTATATATATAACTATAAACACTCTCTTTTCCTAATAGGCTATACATTCCTCAAGAACAGAGACCATGTCTGTTTCTCTATTTCACATAATGTATGCACCGAGAGTCTTGGACAAAGCCTGGAACAAAAGTAGGCACACTTAGTGGAATAAAAAGTACATTCAGAATTCCATCTTTAGTTGCTATTAATTCACATCAATAGAACCCCAGTAAGACATGACCCTACCCACCTGATATGCTAAACCATAAAAATCTTAACATTAAACAATAGAGGTTCCCCATTGACCAGTAATAAACACTGGGGAGGGGAAAATAGAAATAAACTGTAGTGAAGTATTTTGGGCTTAAGCAGGGATTGAGGGTCCTTGTTAGTACAGTCTGTCAATTTTTAGCCAGGCCAGTAATCTGCCACTGAAATTCTTTGGATTCCAGAGATCTGCTTGATTGCTATTCTTTCTGACACTAGCTCTTACCTTGAGTAGTTTCTCTCTTTTCCTTTAGGAAATTAGAACTGATTACAACTTTCCAGTTTCTGCCTTCCACCTCTGTGGAAGCCAGCCTCCATGGCGGGCTTCACTGACCCCTGCCTCCTGGTATTCACATCTCTTGAGCAACAGACCCTTCCCCAATTGAGCAGGGCTGACATATGTAGCTAGCAGGATATCACGGAATGATGGTGTGAGACTTCTAAAGTTAGGTCATGGAAGACACTGGGGCATTCCCTTTGAGCTTTACCATTCTGGGGGAATCAAGCAACTACCCCGTGAAGATATTCTGGCAGTCCTGTGGGAGGTCCATGTGGTGATGAACTGAGCTCGCCTGCCAACAGCCACATGACTGAGTCATCTTGGAAAAGGATCCTCCAGCCCCAGTCAACCCTTCAGATGACTGCCACCTCAGCCAACATCTTGACTGCTGTCTCATGAGATCCTCAGCCAGAGCCAACCAGCTAAACTGCTCCTGAATTCTAACCCACAAAATTTGTGTGAGATAAATGTTCATTCTTATTTTAAGCTGTTAAATTTAGGGACAATTTGTTATACAGCAATAGATAACTAATATTATCTCTCATCATTCAAGTTCACAAAGAAATATTTCAAGAAACTTTCACCATTAATATCAAGGGAAACAAGAAATTAATTTAAAATGTTTTACCTTACAACTCCCTTCTCCCTTGTTATTAGATCCCATAAGGAAGACAAAGTAACTGGTTATTTGAAAACATTTTAAAAAGGTAAAATAAGATTCATTCTATTTTTTGAAAAAAGTATTTTTCCTTGTATCGAACAGAAGACAGACTTTTCTGAAAAAGATAAACAGATGAGATAGAAGAAATGGTATAGAGTGAAGTGTTGCCCTAAAGATCATGAATGGGAAGAAGAAAAAACAAAACAAATCCAGGAACTGGTTCCAACCTTGCTTTAGCAGATTTTACTGAAGTCCAGGCTTACCCCCTTTACACCCTCCCCCCCAATTATGAAATGATCAGAGTATGGGGAGGAAGATATACATTATGATACAGAAACTAGTAGAGTCTGTGCTGGTGAGAAAAGCAAAAAAAATCTTCAAGTGTCAGCTCTTGGGTATCAAGATGGTTTTGAATAAGTACATGATGGCTATTCGCAGAAGTACTACTCTTACCTACTCTTACTTCTTTATTCTATGTACAGAAGTTTTCTCTTTTCTTTTTATTCCCTTCCATAATAAATGTGGAACATAAAATATTCCAATTAGAAACATATTTGTCACCGTGACTGCTAAAAGTGGTGGTGAGCATTATTTCCACGGCCAGAGATAATTTTTCTAACAAAAAAATTCTGAATTCACTTGAGATTTTTTATTATTGTTAAATTCCTCTTAGCTTTGTGCTGCTTCCATTTTCTTTTTCAAAGTCTTTCTAGGTTTCCCTCCACTTTTATCATAGCACAGGCTAGAGAAAAAGACCGAGATAACTAATAGTGCAGCAGAGAATGTTTTCTCTGAACATCTTCAAAAGACCTTTTTAAAGAAGATTGGGGGAAACAACAATGAAAACCTTTTCATTATCCTTCGGTAACAGTTAATGTTGGCTTTATATTGTATTACAATTTCTAAGAGTTTTCTTTCTAGATAGTCGAGAAAATAGAAATTCTTCATAATAAAAAATTACTGGATTCTATTCTTGAAACAACAGATATAAGGCAATGCTACTGAAACTGTCAACGTAACAGTGAAAAATAACAAGACTCCAATACAATACAAAGATGAAAAAAACTAGGCTAAATGTTGGTAAAAAAAAACAAAAAATACCCACATAAAACATAGTATAATTGTCTTTATTCACTTATTAGGAGAATTACCATTGCCACATGTTGTCAACAATCACTAATGATTCCTTAAACTTCTCAAGCTCCTTACAAATAAAGAAATTAGGAAAACCAGAAACAAAACAAAAATGTTCAGCTATCTGATCAGTATTGTCAAGCCAGCCCTGAGTGCCCCTCATCCCCTAGCTGCCAACACTGAGGTTCTAGAGTTTTTAGGTTAAAGTTTGTAAGGGAATTCTTACTTGGCTTTATAGAATTAAAAATGCAGAAAGACCGCAAAGTAACTCATGGTTTTAATTCAATGAGAGACCCTGAGCCAAACCACCAGTTAAGCTGCTCCTGAATTCTTGACTCACAGAAACCGCATGAGATAATAAATGCTTATTGTTGTTTTCAGCTGCTAAATTTGGGGATACTTTATTATGCAGCAATAGATAACTAATATTTCTCATCACTCAAATCTCACAGTTTGCTAGTTTATATAAATAATTAATATAAAAGGCAATGAGATTTATTTATAAAGAAATGTATGCTAATTACTAAAGACAAATGAAAACAAGAATATTAATAAAATTTTTTCAGATACAGTTAGTTAACAATAAGGCTGATACTGTAAGATCAGTGGGGCTGATTCTTTCTCCCAATTTGCCCCAACTTTTTGAAAAGCTCTTTCTACACTTCAGGGAAGCTACTATAAATACCTGCTTTCAATACCCTATAATATGAAGCAGAAGAATAAGGAAGTTAACCTAGAATAATTCTAGGTTGAAATCACTACAAATTGTGAATGAAAGTACTGTAAGAAATTAAAATATATTTCTGTATTTCACAGAATTCTAGAAATCTATAAAAGTGACTATACTATACACTTTTAGATCTACTCTTTATCCTCTGGTGAACTGCTGAGTACCTCTAAACAGTAGCTTTTTCTTAAAAAATAAGCCCAGACAGATGGGTTTACATTTCTCTTCATATAAATCAAAATAAGCTACAAAGTATGACATTTCACCAAGACAAGGTTCTTCTTAACAATCATCATATACTTTTATAGGTAGCATAGGTGCTATTCAGTGATACTCAAGCTCTAAAGTTCTTTCATATAAAAATGGTAAGATAAGCAAACTGATGAAATGATACAAGAATTTTTTTAAAAGTCACCTACCCTTAAGAGGATCATGTTCTGCTCTCATAATATCAATAAGGGAATTTTCCAAAGAGTGCATATTCAAACTGTCATACATTCTACTTCGATCCTAGAAGAGAAGAAAAAAGACTGAATATAATCTATGCAACTATATTTTGAAAAGTGATGATAAATATACTAACTTAATCTTCTTACATAAAATAGAACATCTGATTAATATACTATCATAAATGAGTTTACATCTTAAGACAATACAAATAACTAAGGATCTTATAAACTACAATAGCTCTTGTATCGAAGAACAATATATTTAATACATTTACCTCCAAAATCACATATCAAAAGCAATCTCATTTCATTGGCAGTATTAATCAATACAGTAAAATAATTTTTATTGCTATCATTCTCAGCCTATAAAGATTTCTAAAATGCAGAAAGCAATTTTAGTTGTTATTTAATTTCTAAACTTTTATCATATATCTAGGAAGACTGGCATTTGAAAAAAAAATTGAAGGGACAGGACTTAATTCCATTGCACCATACTTTAAACATCTATCAAACATCGTATGTTATTTGACTTATTTAGAAACTCACAATAATGAATGCATAAACATATTATATAGTAAATCAAGAGCATGAAATACAGTATCAAAATAAAGATCAACACTTAGAATATTTATATTCAAGTCTTGCTCTCTGAATTCTCCACATATTGTCTCTGCATTTCTAACCTTCTTTCCCTATTAACTCCCCTGCAAAAAAGGGAGTGGGGGAGCAGAAGCATTCTCATTTCATCAAATGTGTGCTACCTCATCAAGTCTCAGAACAAAGTCTTTTGTGTCATTAGAAGTCTTGTTTGCTGAATATTAAATCCAACATGCCTAGTAGATTCTTTAATATTCATGAATGAACATAGAGTATTTTGCTCAATATATAATCAATGTAGTTGAACAAATATAAATGGGGAACTACCATAGCAAGATCTGACCCATGCCCCCCAAATCATGAGGAAGATTTTTACCAAAATATGTCAGCACTAACCCCCACCCATCCACTCATTTATGGGTGTGGGTGCACACGCAAGCATGTGCTTCTGTACGTGTATGAATGTGTAGGGGAGGCAGGGCAGGCTATTTTTAACTCTCAAAAAATGATTAACACATTCTCCCCAGCTTCCAGCTCTTACCAGGCAGGCAACGCATGCTTATTTGGTGAATAAATGGAGGAATGAATAAATGAATGAACCTTCTACTGCAGAGGAATCTGCCAGATGCCCATTCAGCCCTGGACATATCCAGTGACTGGGAGTTCCCCAGACTACCCACTCCATATTTGACCATATCTAGTAGTTAAAGAAAGTTCTTACATTGAACCAAAAACTACCTCTCAGTAACCAGCGCCCAGTGGTCTTAGTTCTGTCTTCTGAATCTACAAGGGCCAATCTGCTACTTCTTCTACCTAATAACCCTTTGGGACCAGCAACATCAGCATTGCCTAGGAACTAGTTAAAAATGCAAACTGTTGGGCTTCATCCCAGATATACTGAAGCAAAAACTCTGGGGTTGGGGTCTAACCATCTATTGTGACAACTCTAAGTGATTCTGAACAGAACCACCGCCCTAAACAACAAGATTTCAACATACTTTTAAGGAAGGCAAACTTCAGAAATTAAAAAAAAATAATAATAATAATTAACACAGAAAAAGGAAAGAGAAGAATCATGAGAGTTGAAAGAAAGCCTCCACAGAAATCAGAATTGGCAGTTCTTAACCTGGGTCCATAGTCTTCAAGAAGGATCATGAAATCTCTGAGATTATATACAACATTCTGTAGTGCAAGTCCGTCATCTTTTTTCTGAAGAAAGATTTATGGGTTTCACTGGTTTTCCAAAGGAGTCTACAATCCAGAAGATTCAGAACCGATTTTTTAGAAAGTAGAAGAAAAACATAAGAAGTTTTCCTGAGAATATGTTGATTTACTTACCCTACCTTGAGGTTTAAATTAGGGTTGTGACCTTTTTAAAGCTAGGGAACTGGAATCAGTATTATAGATTAAACAAGTTGCTGTCAAGAAATTTAACTGTGAAAAGTAACACTGAATGATGAAAACAATACTAGACTAGAGGCTCTTATTCCAACTTTATCATCAATTATCTATAGTGTAACCCTTATTTTTACTTGAACTCCTCAAGGAGAACACACTCATCAGGAACGGGGTGGCACAGAGAATCACTGAGCTGTAACAGCAGTTTTCAAACTTGAACCTATTTCAGAATCAGCTGGAAGGCTTTTTAAAAACACAGATTGCTGGGACCCATACAGAGTCTGATGAAACAGGTTGGGAGTGATCCCTGAGATCTATTTTCCCAACAAGGTCTCAGGTGATACTGAGGCTGCTGCAGTCCCAGAGACTGTACTTTAAGAAGCACTGAACTTCTTGATCTTAAGTTACTGAATTTCTTCAGGCTCTATTCCATCTTCTAGAAAAGAAAATAATCATGTCAGACTAGATGGTGCCTAAAATCCACCTTTAAAATAATGCAAATAATAGGAAAAAAAAAGACTATATAATAAGTAACACTGGAATAGAGAAGAGCATGGCCCTTCAGCAAAGATGACATACAATTTTAGTAATCTATGGAAATATTTTCATCTTCTGTGTTTCTACTATACTTTGTTCATAACTAATTTTTATAAATTTTCCTCCCTCTTCCACTGAACTTCAAAGCTAATCAGGGGTAGAGACCTTCTAATTATGGAATACAGCTAGATCTCAAATGTTTGTTGAATGGTACTTTTTCTCTGTACCATAAAAACTTTGCAAAAATGTTTAATTTGATGTCTGTGAGGGCAGAAACTAATTTTTATTTTCTTTTTTAAACCTTACCCGAGGATATTTTTCCATTTATCTTCAGACAGAGTGGGAGGGAGGGAGGGAGAGAGAGAGAGAGAGAGAGAGAGAGAGAGAATGAGAATCATTGATGTGAGAGAGACACATCAATTGGCTGCCTCCCACAGGACTCCAAGCAGGGCCGAGTATGTACCCTTGACCACAATTGAACCAGAGACTCTTTGATCCGCCAGCTGATGCTCTAAACTCTGAGCCAAACCAGCCAGGGCACAAAGACTGAATTTTTATATGGCAATTATTAAAGACCATATAGAAAGCCTTCTTAGACTCTTCCATTGAATAGGTTCTCAAATGTTAATTAACGAAACTGTGACAAGCATTAGATTTTAATGTAGCCTTGCTATTAACTTGAATTTCTGACCACAAAATAGAAGATTAAGTGATATTATATTCAAAGTTTCCCGATGTACTTAATATATAATTAAAATATATAAACTGTCAAGATAAAAACGGTTCATATAATTAAGCGAAAAAAACCTCAGAAGGTATGCTGATTGTTATAAGTTCTAAGATACAGTATATTATAAATTCTTTATATTCTTTTTACCTTAAATTCTCACAAAGAAAATATATTATAGTTCAAGGCTATCTTCTCAGGGTGATGTATTTTGAACAGAATCAGACTATGTCCCATATTCAGTCAACCTATGAGCTTAATTTAATGGTAACTATTAACACTACCCAAATGGCATTTCCCACACAAACTTTTGTTCTATGTGGCCACCTTCTACCTCCATTCCAAGAAGTGTGATCCCCTCTTGCTTTAGAACACAGTAAAATTAATGAAGTAATTCTATATACACTGTCGGTGGCTGAAATAGTGAGATGCCCACTTATAAGGTCCCTTATTTTCCTTCCCAGACAAGTCTTTCATCATGAAACAAAGTCCTATTTTAGCAAAGAAAATAGTAAAGCTATTTAAAAACTATTAGCTTAGTTTTACTTCGTTACTCATCAGCTGCATCTCACATGATTTTTAAAGCACCAAACACAAATAACCTTGATCAGGCAAAGAGCTCATGACATCCCAAAATTGCTATTTGGATTTAATGAGACCTATATGTAAATGCTCAAAATACAGATAATCTCATTAAATGTGGGGAATCAAAATATGACTTCTGAAAAAAAAAAAAAAAAAAAACAGAAACAAATCTGACGATAAAACAGTCAGGTATCCTTCTAAAATATGAATATTAGAAAAATTTGTGTTCACACAAACTGCCATTGGTTTAAAAACTAAATTGGAATCCTGGAACCATTTTAAAGTAACCATGAATACAGCAATACTGATTAGCATAAATGGAAAATCGTAGCAATGTAACTTGCATTTATTACTACATGACTATTTAAAAACAGCCAAAGTATTTCACAGAAGAATCTTTATGAGGAAGTTTACTCCAATCTACTTTAAATATGAAAACTACCTGGCAAAGAATTAACTAAATGAGCTTTGAGAAAACGAGATTACAGAATCCCACAACAATGAACAGGCAAAAATGAAAAAGCAGTGGTGGAAAACTATAATTATCTTATATTCTAATATTTTATTGTTTTTTGTAAACCCAGACATTTGCCACAAAGACTGATAGAAGTGACAATCAAGTCCTAGAAAATTTGAAAAACACATAAAACATGAAGTAATCCTAATCTTAAAAAGGATGATGGCCTGAGTAAAGATTTTTATAAACACTAAAAAATAACTAAGAAAGTCAACGATATTACAAGTAGTACAAGAGGATTTCCAACTAAAAGGGAACTTTTTTATGTGATGTCATATTTTTACTTTGATATATACAAAACTCTGTTCTATTTCAAACGAAGGAAGTGGTCGAGTAGAACCTTTCCCTCTTGACAATTAAGTATTCTCCCAAAGAAAAACAGGATAGATTACAGAAAAACACTATATCCTCATATTTAAAGATATACCAGGTGCTTGAGCATATACTCTTCTGCCTAAGTATAAAGATCAGCTTTTACTGTATTTTTTTTGGGTTTGGTTCTCTAGTTTTAAAATAAGAGAAGCAAAGTTGTGGTAATATTTTCCTCAATTTGAATACCGATTATGCACCCCTGATCACAGTGCTATTGCGCTGCACTGAATCAGCAGTTTATGCTGTGCTGCTCTCCTTACTACCACACAGCACAGCACTCCATCTCTCACCTTCTCCAGCTGTTTCACAATGATACCCCTCTCTTCATCCCACTGGACCTTCACCTGGTCAATGGTCAAGAGTAGTTATTTACCCCCATATATCCCAAGGGTAATTAAAACACTACCACACACATAATCAACATTCATTTCTTAAACTTCCTTTATTATTCTGATCCTCAACAAAGTGCCATAACAGTGATTCTGAAAATTTATTTTTTTAATTTTGAAGACCCCAAATGGCCAAAGCTATTCTAGTACCCACAGGGGTCAAAGAAAATGGACAGGCAAGTAGAAAATATATTAAGAATATATCAAGTATAATTAAAAAAACTGAACACAGGATAGGAAACATAAAAAAAATTAAACATCCATTACCTAAATGTGTGTCAGAGACCCATTCTTTCTCATTTTCAGTAGGTGTAACGGTTTGGTGTCCCTGAAGCTGATGTAGTTTAAGAAATCCTTTACTAAATGAAAAATTGGACTTGGTCGAGTAGTATATTTTTTTGTGTGAAAGGTGAATAAAGACTCTAAATAATGTATTTTTCTGAAAGGGATGCCCATGTTATCATTGATCACATTATCATTATACCCTGAATTTTAAAGACTGGTGAAAAATACCTTTAATTAATTCAAGGTAGTTCATGTGACATGCTCAATAACTGTAGGAAGAACTTCCATAAGAACAAAAACCTAAGGTTGAATATATTAATAATATCCCAGCTAGAGGACAGGCTGACATACACCTTATGGGCTCCACAGGCCATATCACAGTTTTAAAGGCCTGGTGTTGTTTGTTTACAGAGAACTGATGGGCCATATAAAAACTTGTAATAACCTCTGCTACTAGTATGTTTACTCTTTGATTTAAAATATTCAAGTGTTAATGAATACATATATTGCAACCTTAATATCTAAAGAAAATTCCATTTTAAGGTAATTTAGAATTCACACTTGAATATGATTTCTTGCAAAGGTAACTGACTAGCTGATAGAGTTTTAAAGAAAAGTAATTCTTAGCCTTAAAGATATTTAATAGAAATATCTAATATTCATTTTAAAGTCAGAAATATGCATAACAATTTACATTTGTTTTAATACAGTTTTAAATTTGAACCTTTTCCATTAAAAATGGATTATTTAAAATAAGGAAATCCCAGCCAAAAAATTTTACATACACTTAAATTAAATCAACCTATAAACCTATTTCTTTCCCATTTACTGAATTCAATTATAGGTAAGGCCCAAAGTATCCAGGTATAAGAATTAAGGTTTCAGTTCTAGAGTTTAGTATTTTTTTTAGGCCTAATCAATTTGAGACTAAAGGAAATAAAAATGTAAATGTTTTAAAATAATGTATTTGTTAACTAAAATTTATTATTATTAGAATGTTGTACATGATGCAAAAGGATTAGAGATGAAAATAATCTCTCAGATATTTAAGTGCTTAAGTATTTTCTACAGTTTTAACTTTGCCAAATAGTGAGGAACTATCCAACCAAGATACCAATTGTAGTTTTTAGCTGCTGCTGTATTTTTAAGAATCTCAACTTCAAATACCTCAACCTTTTATGGCAGAAACACAGAACAAATTTTGTATAAGTACCCTTACAGTACTCAAAGGAGACAACATTGCTTTCAAGACCAGTTGAGAGACCATACACTATACCCCCAACTGCTTGGGACCAATACCCATCACTTCCCCCACAATAAACCCAGACCCTAAGATTCTCAAAATAAAGGGAGAGGGATGGATAGCAGGGGCCAGGAAGCAGGGAGGAGGGAGGAAAAGAAATGGTCAAAAGAGATCAGAGAAGGTTTAAACACTAAAAAGATCTTATATGACCTGGTCCAAGGTCCTCCTTTTATAATGAAATTATGACCCAAACAGATAAAGGCCCATAAACTGTCATACAATGTGATAAAGATTGTGAGAGTAAAAGGAAGATGATTCGGGTTTCAAACCTCCATTCCTTCTAATTTAGTTCACTTTTCACTATCTTTTTTTTTTTTTCTTTTCTAATCACGGTCTTCAACTTATCACATCACACCTGTTGCTTAAGAGTCCACAAGGAATGCAGTATCTCAGCAATTTATTTAAAAAAAATTTAAGTACCAAAACACTAGATTATAAAATAGGTAAAAGCAGAGTGGCTTTGACTGGGGTTTAAGTGGGAGAATTGAGGCCCAGGAGCACCTCTGCAGAGTCCAATTTGCAAACTTCCCTTTCCTTATCACCTCTTTTCTCTAGCATTCCACCAACTGACACCATCTTAAAAACCTATTTTTCAGCACATCCCCCGACCCCCAACCCACAGACCCTTTATATGGCAGCTAATTTGTCTTCTTCTTTCTCTCGAGATATATATCCTTCTGTGCATGCTATTATCTTGGAATAATTTTGTCTCTTCTAACATACCATTTCCTAGGCATTTATATATTCAATGCTACCATAAAAATGATATTAATATGGCCTAACAGAACCAGGGTGAAAAAGACAATAGAAAGAGATGAATAGCTAACTTACATTAACAAGATAATAAATTACAAATTTATGAGATAACTACTTATTTCTAAGTGAAGATCCAGGCAGGACTACTTTGGTAAATAGGTAGGACTTGTCTAAAACAAGTGCTAATTGTTTTAAAAAAATTTTTTTTCTTTATTGATTTTAGAGAGAGAGGAAGGGAGAGGGAGAGAGAGAAACATCGATGAGAGAAAACACTGACTGGCTGCCTCTCAAATCCCTGCTGGGGATTTGGCCCACAACCTGGGCATGTGCCCTGACCAGGAATTGAACCAGTGACCTCATGGTGCACAGGTCAACGCTCAACCACTGAGCCACACTGGCCGGGCTAAAACAAGTGTTCATTGTTAATTATTGAAGTTATTGCTAACCCTCCAGATTAGAATGTTATTTACAAACATACTAATCTATGTATATAGTCTTTACTTGTAAAATCATCTCATGTTCATAAATAAACTAAGGAAGAGCCTTAGTTAAGGATAACACAGATCCATTCAGGGGACTCCCATAATGTCAACTCTGTGTTCAAACTTTGGTTCTGTAGAAAAGAACCCTCAGATGTAAGGGCTGCGTTTTCTATCTATCCTATAATGATTCTCATCACCTAGTACTCAGAGTATTCAAATTTAGTCTGTAGGAAGAGAAGTAGCATTTTGTAACCACAAAGACTGTCTGTCAGCTTTCTGACTCAGGGTTTTCCCCTAGGAAACTGATTATTTGGAAGAAGACAGTATATAAGAGCCGTAACTAAACTTAGGGAAAATACTGTATCGTAAAATTTTTTTATCAAGTTGAAAAAGCTGAACTAAGTGCTTTTTAAGAACTATATCATAAGACCAACGTAGCAGATTTCATGAAAACATGAAATTCTGTAAAACATTGATGAAATGTCAAGTTGGAGGTTAAGTAAACATGTGATTTTGTATCTAACTGCAAATAATTCTGAAAAGAGATAAAAATCTGTTCCATTTGACTGATGTTTAAAGCCAGGTGCCTTTTGGGTATATAATTCCTTTATCCAAAAACAATTTTATTATGTTTTGGAAATAAGAAATGCTTATGAATTACTTTTAAATATAAAAATGACACATTTTGTAAGTTTAAGTCAAGTGACCCTTTAAAAATAAATTGCTTTAATGCTCTCTGACATATGCTTAAATAGATATAATCAGAAAGTAAATAATAAATCCTCCTCATAATATAAATACTAAACTCCTAGCGAAAGTCCTGAAAAATATACACTGTGCAGCCTACCTGGTCTATTCTGGATGTTCCGGCTGCAGTGCACCAACTATCTTGGAGTGAATCTGAGCCCCAAGCTGGCAACTGCAAACTAGATCTCACCTTCAACAGCATAGAAGTTTTCATCAGAAATAAGCAGTTCTCTTTCCCATACCCACCCACCGAAAAAAGGAAGAAAAGAAAACAAAAAACAAAGTTCTTTCTATTTTTATTCTGTCTTCTAAAGGTTTTAGGGGGGGGGGAAATCTCATTTTAAATAGCCATAAGGGAGTTTCATTAACCTGCAATATCAACAAAATACTAAAAAAGGCCTGAAAAAACGTCAATCATCGTAACTATTAGGCCACATTTAAAAAACTAATAGTCATTGAACCAGTGAAGACAAATTTTAATTTGATGTAAAAAGTCCTATTGTTTTGCCATAATCATAGCTGTAGTTAAGTATATTCTAATACACATACAGCTGATCATAGTCAAATCTATGCACGATTATGGACATTTTAGTTTAGCTCTATTGTAAGAGAAACTCATTTTGGTGACCTATTAAACATTAATAAATTAAGGCATTCTTAAGGAACTGCCAATTAAAAGCTTCAATATGTATTTAAGAAATACAGCAGGTTTTTCTACATTTTATGAAATTTATTTTCTATCGTGCTTACAGAATTTTTTATAGCGTCAATTTTTTTCATATAGGTATTCTATCCTTTGATAATGAAATTATATATGCTTAAAAGCTAAAACTTTCTTTTTTAAACTGTTAATTTTACCATACTACCTTGACTACTACCACTACTCAATTTCTAATTTTGAAAGATTAACATTAGAAATAAGGCCATTTACATACCATTCTTACCTGTAAGGGTAAGAGTGTATTACTATTGTTGTCTGTTCTGAACACATTATCTTCAATCCAAGATTTTGGAGTCAGTGATGGAGTAGAGCGAGTAAATTTCGGTGGTGCTATGACATTACCAGAAAACGGTTTTTTCAGTGGAGATATCTGATTCATAGTTCCTGGAATCCCCATGTTTCCAGTTCTACGATGATCTCTGCCATGCATTGCTCCCCAGGACATACTTCCAGTGCCCCAGCCACTGCTCTGATGGTTGCTCCAAGGAGATTGTTTCAGAAGAGGCTGGGAAAAACATATCTATTTAAATTACAGGCATTTGAAGAGTTTATAATTGAAATTCAAATTTTAGACCTGAACTAAGAATTTATATGATCTTTAAAAAATAAAATATAGAATATACAGAATACATCCTTAACTAGTTTACAAAAAGTAATAGGCTTGAGATCTTGCTATATTAAAACATTCATTTAATGTGAGGTGGATTTTCATCCTCCTCTCTACTATAAATTATACTGAATCAAGCAGATAGTTCATGACAATCACTAAAATAGAAGCATGTAGTTACTCCCCCCCCCTTCAGAGAGTACCATATACATGATAACTTGAAGATCCTTAAAGATATACCCTACATTATGACCTTAAAGCAACCACATTCTGGTAGGCACACAAGCAAAAACATAATCTTTATTAATCAAAGTACACCAATCATATGGGTGAAATAGTTAGACTTTAGCTTTCCAAAACAAGTTGTATGACTGCAAAAGTGAATAAGATTTGGCCTTATTCTGTTGCACAAATTAATAAAGGCCTTTTGGGAAAGGGACAATATAGGAAATATGTCCTTTTCTGCATTATTTACTGAACTTTTAAGATCTTTTATTCCAGTTTTAATGTAGTTTCTTTTAAAGTATTTTTGCTTTTGTTTTTAAGTATCCATGAACTGTTAAGCAATTATCTAATGTTACCCATAGGTGGATCCACTGAGATATACAAAAAATAAACAACTATATGCTTTGATTATTCTAGTAAAGATGTTAATAATACAAGTCTCTATTAACTTCATTCATTTTCTAAAGTAAAATGTATTCCAAACAAGAACCTATGGCAAAAAGTTATGTCATCAAAGAATGGAAAATCCATCAAAAGCCTATTAAGTGTAGGTTTTTTTAAAATGGATTCAGTTCTAGAAAGTATATTATCAATAAACTTACACTTTTAACAATTTTGTGCTAACATGTAGCCAAAACAGGTATGGACCATACAGTTACTATAAGTCAATAAATACAACAGCCTCAAAATAAGCCTGCTTAAACAAGACAAAGAACCCAAACCTGATATATAGTACCTACTAAAAAACAACTTTTAAAATGCTAACATCATCACGAATATATACTCCTGTTTCACCCTCCACACAGTACAAAAGCACAGCGAAGGGGCACGGAGAGACCTGTCCCCAGCGACACAGTGCCCAAAGTTCTCTTCCCGTGATCTAGTGATCGGAAATTCCATGTGACAGCCTGTGCCCTTTCACTCCGCTGCCAGACCCCTCTTTCGACAAAAAGCAGCTTAAATCTAAATATGGATCATGGTATATGGTATTTCAATTTCTACATTCTATCTTCAGGAATTGAAGCCTATCATTTTCGGTGGCAAGTAAAAAAATAAATAAAAAACGCGAGTCATGAAAAAGTGGAGTATTATTTCACAATTCCCCATTTTCAATCCTTCCAGGCCACATTCTCCTTCGTCGGGGAGAAACCAGTGATTCAACAGAAACTGGCTGTTACTCCGGCTAATTGAAATAAACTGTTAACTGTCACTTTGGTTAATGTAGAGAGTTATGCCCCTTCGAAGGCGACTCGCTGAAACCGTGAACTGGTCAGCAGAGCGCGGGGCAGGCGGGCACTGGTTCGGGTCCAGCCCCTGCTCTGTCCTCCGCGACACGGCCTCCAGCAGGGCGCGGGCCACCGCACACCGACCGGACCAAAACCAGGACCGAGCGCCTCCCCCACTCACCAGCCCAGCGGCCACGCAGACCCCGTCCCGAGGGCAACAGACGCGGCCTCGGCCCGAAAGGCCCCGGATGGACACGGCCCCGCCGGGTTATTTCACAATTACACGACCCACTCGAAACAGAAACGCCCGTCATTCGGGGGCGCGGCCCCCGCGGAGACGCCCGGAGCCGGCCTGCCAGGTACCGCCGACCCCCGCCTCGCCCCGTTCTCGCCTCGCCCCGTTCTCACCCCGCCCCGGCCGCCGAACCTGACGAAGCCCGGCCGGAAGCCCCCGCGGCGCCGGGCGGCCGGTTCTCTGTCCAGGCGGCTGACAGAGGAGGACGCGGCCCCGGGCGCCGGGGGCAGGACCAGCTGCCCGGCCGCCTGCTCCCCACGCCGGTCCGGCCACCCCCGCCGCCCCGGCGACGCCCCGCGCCGGCCGACGACGGGGGAAGCCACCGCCTAGCAAAGCCCCTCCGCGGGCTCCCTCCCCGGACGACACGCACCGTCCCCGGGGACCATGTCCCTCCTTCCCAAGTCCGCTCCCCACGCCCTTCCCCGAGCGGCCGCCCCGCGTCCCCGCCGCGACTCTCGGCCCGGACCCCGGACAGCGGCCTCCAGCCCAGGGGCGTCCGCGCGGCCGGGGTCGCGGGGGTGGGTGGCCCGCCGCGAGGGACGCGGGAGACGCCGCCGGCCCCCGCGCTCCGGCGTTCGAGGGGGCGCCCGGCCGCGGCTCCCCCGCCAGCCGCACCCTCCCGGCCCGGCCGGCGCCTACCTGGTGGTGGTTGTAGGAGTTCCGCTGCTGCAGGAAGGCGGCCGCCGCCGCCTGGTGCTGCTGCGGGAGCTGCGGGCTGACGGGCGACCTCCGGCTCGGCGGCTGCTGCGGCGCGGCGGGCGGGGGCGGCTGCTGCTGCGGTACGTTCATGGCGGGCGGCGGCGGCGGGGGCACCGCGGCCGCCGAGAAGGGGCCGCCGAAGCCGCCGCCGCCGCCGCCGCCGCCGGCCGGCACGCTGAGCCCCGCGCAGCCGTGCGGGGACACGGGCGAGAAGCTCGGGAAGAAGGCCGGGTTCATGGACGACGGCAGCCCGGGGTAGAAGCCGTTCTCCGAGTCGGGGCTGGGCGGCGGCATGGCGCTGAGCGAGCCGCCGCCGCCGCTGCCGCCACCCGGGCCGGCGGCGGACGAGCCGGGCTGCGGCGGCTGGGGCGGCGGCGGCTGCTGGGGCGGCGGCGGCGGCTGCTGGGGCTGGGGCGGCGGCGGCGGCTGCGGCTGGGGCGGCGGCGACGCGGTCTGCACCGACCAGGGGGTGCCGAAGCCGGGCAGCGGCGGCGGCGACGCGGAGCCGCCTCCTCCTCCGCCTCCGGGGGGCCCCCCGCCCCCGCCGCCCGGGTGCGGAAGGTCCGGGCTCTGCAGGCTGCTGAAGGCGCCGGTGCCGAGCGCCCCGCCGGGCAGGAGGGGACTGGGACTGTTGAGCAGGGGGTGGTTGGGCGACTCCATGGAGCCCGGCGCGGGGTTCACCGGCGGCGTCGAGGGGGCCAAGCCCGCATTGGGGGGCTCGGCGGCGCTGCCCTCGCCCGCGGCCGAGGTCCTGCGCGGGCTGCCCGCGCCTCCGTGGCGGCGCCGCGGGGCTGCGGGCGGCGAAGGCTGGAGCTGCGGGAGCGGGGGCAGGTCGGCCGGGCGCTGCCGCGGGGCGAAGTCCTGCGGCGGGAGGTGCTGCGGGTGCGGGAGGCTGAACTGCTGCTGCGGCTGCTGGCGCTGGGCGAGCGGCGCCGGCTGGAGGGGCGGGCCGGGCGGCGGCGGGCTGAACCGGCCGGGGCGGTGGAGCGGCGGCGGCTTCGAGTCCGCAGGGTGGGGAAGGCGGGGAGGGCTGAACTCTTTCCTCTTCTGGCTGCTCAGCTGCTGCTGCTGCCGCTTACTGAAGTCCTGCGGGGAGGAGGTGCGGCAGCAACAGCAGGAGGAGGCGGAGGAGGAGGAGGGGTGGTGCAGACTCGGTTTGAAGTCCTGGGAGGGGAGGAGGTGGGTCACACCCGCGTTCGTGCCGCCGCCGGGGTGGTGGTTGGGGAGTTTCTCCGCGGCCGCCGCCCCCGAGCGCGGCCGCGCCGGCTGCTGTGTCAGCCCCAGCAGCAGCTCATCCTGCATGGTCTGCTGCCGCGCCGGGAACGCGGAGGAAGAGGAAGCGGCGGCGGCCGCGCTGCCCGCGCCGCCGCAGCCGAGGGGGACGGGGAAGGGGGAGGCGGCCTCCGAGAACCCGGTGACAGGCAACGGCGGCGGCGAGAGCGGGCCGAAGGGCGTGGCGGCGGGCAGCGGGGCGGCGGCCGCGGCGGGCCGCGCGGCGTGAGGACGGTACGTCCCGCCGCCGAATAGGGACCCGGGGCTGCTGCTGCGGAGCGGGGCGGTCTGCAGCACCCCAAACCCGAAGTCCCTCATTTATCAGGCCGGGGCAACGGGAGGATCGCGCCCCGTCCGCTGCCCGCCTAAGAAGCCGCCTGCTGTAGGGCGGCGCGGCCGTGGTGGGAGGGGGAGTCAGTGAGGGAGGGACACCGTGACTGCGGCCGGGGCGCCGACTGCGGCCCCGCCGCCCCTCTCGGCGGCCACCGCCGCCTCCCGAGACCGGCTCGGGCGCCGCCGCCACCGCCGCCCTCGCCGCTTAAGAACCCCGGAACGTGCGTCAGCGCCACCTCACAATCGCACCGCCCCCCGCGGCGCGTCCCGGCACGCGCTGGCGCGCGGCCGCCCCGCCCCTCATTAATATGCAGGCTCGGCCGGGGCGCGCTCGGAGGGCGGGGCGCGCGAGAGCGAGCGGCGCGTCTCCTGGCTCCCCTCCCGAGCCCAGGGGAGACGAACGGCCGGTTGGGGCGGCGGGCGGCCCGCCGGGTTCTGAGCGCCGGGCTCGCGCGCGAGTGAGAGCGGGCACGCGCGGGCGGCGCGCACGATTCCGGGGCAACGGCCCCTGCTGCTCCAGTGCAACGCGCCCCCTGCCGCTCCGGGCCGGGCGCGCTCGCGGCCACGCCCCCTTCGTGTCACCTCCGCCCCACCCGCGGTCATGTGAGGCCGGGCCGCACCGACGGGTGCTTCCCTGGGGCAGGGCCTTTGCAGGGTGGGGCTGGCGCGCCGGGGAAACTGAGGCGGGGGAGGCCGACTGGCCGTGGCTCCTCGTGCCGTGGAGCCGGGACCACGACCACGACCCCTCCCGCCCCGGCTCGCGCGGGCTCCGCCTGCCTGGCAGACTGCGGAGCGGTTCACGGCCCGCTGCCCCGCCGTGGCCCCGCCGTGGCGCCTGCTGGTTGCCCTAGAAAGTGCCTTCTCAGGCCGGTTGCCGCTCCTAGCCTTTCGTGTCGCGTGCTGTCACCGACCTTCCGCAGCCACGTGAAGGTGTTTGCCGAACGGGTAAACATGAAGCTCCCGCTGTGCACCAAACATTTTCGCTCTAGTAATGAGGAACGACGTCCCTGGGCCCTAACACGGCTCCCCGCGGTGTTGTACACGCACATATGCATATAATGGGTTCCCAGGCGAGCTCCCATGGTAACCCTGGGCCGGCTCCAAGTCCCACTATTTTCATAAAAGCGCTTAATGTGCTATCATCGGGACTGCTGTGTGTTGGACTCCTCCCCACCACATTCAGTCGGCCATCCCCACCCCTCACCCCCAGGGAGACTCTCAACATTTCCAAGGCTTTATGAACTCCAGGAGAAAGATTTCTCACATTAGGGGGAAAAGGAGGTTCTGACTCAGCAGCAGACTTGTTGAGGCTTGCAAAATGGAAGGGGACAGAGTTTTCCATGGTAGGGCTCATGCTGGAAGCGATAGAAGAGGAACTAATATGTATATTTCCTTTCATAAAGAAAATCTTTACATACAGGAAAAAATATGAGGACCTAGATAAAAATAGAAAAGTGATCCATATTACATAAAGGCGTGGATTTTTTTTGTTGTTGTTCTTGTTTTGCAATTTTAGCTTTTTCTGGGCACTTAGAGAAGTGAAACTGCTGAATGAATCCTAGAATTTAGCATAACCCCAAAGAGCTAGTAAATAGATTCACTCTCTACTTGATTTTGAATTACAACTGGGCTAAGATTAAACAGTGTCATAAATTAGCATACACTTACTGATGTAGGCAAAGTATATACATTTTTGAGTTCTCATTCTTTAAATTTCATTTCCACTTTTATTACTCAAATTTAAATAAATGAGAATAAATACAGTAGAAAGAGAACAATACTGTAAGGGGAAAATACATTTTATATACAATGTGTATACATGTATGTCTGATATCCTGTCTAATGAACTAAGTTTGATATTGCCTTTACAATAAGGAAAAAATACTTTAAAAACTCATGAATGATTCAGAAATTGGTCAGGTGCTTAGAAAATTAATTCGAGTTAATCTCAAAATCATTTTTAACAATCAAGCAAAATATAGAACTAGAGAATTACTTTTATTATTCTAAATTACATTGTCTAGAAAATAAACTGAGCTCATTAGAATTAAAACTAAAAATGGCCAGTTTCACAGCACCTATTGACATATTCTTAATTATTATTCATTGATATATTTTACAGGAAAAAACTTTCAGCAATCAAGCATGTAAAGTCTTTAAAATGAGCAAATATTTTTCAAAAAGTTATATATGATTGGAATCAGCTGCAGCCCCAACAACAAATCTTGAAAGAACAAGAAGATATAGGTATAAACCTTAGCTCAATCATCCGTTAAAATTTCAGAGAGCATACAGTTAAAAGCTAACTGGTGCCATTCTGGGCTGACGTTTGAAGAAAAAAGGATTTCCCCGTTTTCTGATACTGGTTTTGTTTCAGAGACTTTAGAGGTCTTCAAAATGGAAGGAAGCCATGAAGTTTGGTATTACATAATAAGGTCAGACTTCATACTAAATACACCAAATTCCAAAGTCCAACTGCCAGGTCCACATCTCAGAGAGTGTTAATGAAGGCCCCATTTTTTAATAAGAGAAAAATTACATTCTGAAATCTAAAACTTTTAATCTGGTGAGCATCTCAGTATTGAAAATATCACAACAAAAGGTTTCCTATAGTGCAAGTGGTGGTAGGGAGGGAGTGGGGTGGATGGGTAGGGAAGCTTTGTGGTTCCCTAACAGATCCAATGTCTATAGTATGAATTTATATTATATGTTACATATTATATAGTCATATGTTAACTATATGACCATTAACTAGCTCTCTGACTTTGAGTCCCTTGTTCATTTGTTCCCACTGTCCTGGGCCAGTGTTTTTAAAAATATTGTTTCTATAACCCAGGGAAAACACAAAGACAAACACACACACACACGCACGCACACACGCACATATACAAACATACAACTGAAATAAACCTTTTATTAAGTAATTCTTACTCTTAATACATACAACAAACTACATTTTAAAATTATATAACTTTTAAAATCACTACATTGATCACAAATCACTAATTAAAGCATTTTCTTCCTATCCTCATTCTGAGCTGCTGACCAGGCCTCCTGTTAACCTGAGAGAGAAGCAGTTACAAGAGCTTCCACAGGTCCTCACTGCCTCCCTGTCCCAGTCACTCTGTCCCTCATACGCATCTTCCCTCCTGCTGCGTGAAGGGCCTGTCCATGCCCAAGCTCCCATCTAAGGTCTAAGGCCTGCCCTTCCACTGGTGCACCAGCCCCCCCCCCCACACACACACATGCTGAGAACATGGCTTCACAGACATCCCAGTGTCTCATGACATCCCACATGTCACAAGTTCAAAATTAAACTCCCCCACCTCAGTCCCCATCTCAATGAATGGCACCCCGATGGGCTAGTTGCTCAGGCCAAATACCTTGAGTCATTCTTGACTTCTATTTTTTTTTTTACATCATATCTAAGCCATAATTACAGGCTGCTTGGCCTACCTTTACATTATATCCAGAATCCATCCACTTCTCACCACTGCTACCACAAGCAACCTGGCCCAGGCCATCTAGGATGGACTGACTCGTCAACAAAGGAAAGATCTAGAATCTTGCCCTGATGATGGATAGCCCTCAAACACCATAAAATGTCTTCAGGTGGTATCACTCTTTGTAAGTGCTTTGGAAATTTGTCATCCAATGCTAGTACTCCCACCTAGGAGAGAAGCCTTTGACCTATCCAGTAATTTCCCCCATGATGCCCATTGGGCACCTGTGTAGACTGACTTAACTGTTCCATTGCCTCTTGCCTTTTGATAAGCCCTAGTCAACTTGATTAGATTATAAGTCTTTGAAGGTATGGTTATGTCTTGATTCTTTTTTTTTTTAATCCTCACCCGAGGACACTTTTTGCATTTATCTTCAGATAGAGCGGAAAGGAGAGAGGGAGAAAGAGAGAGAGAGAGAAATATCGATGTGAGAGAGACACACTGACTGGCTGCCACCCACACAACCCCAACCAGGGCCGGGGACAAACTGCAACTGAGGTACGTGCCCCTAGCAAGAACCAAACCCTGGACTCTCTGGTCCGTGGGCCGACGCTCTAACCACTGAACAAACAGGCCAGGGCCATTTTTGTATCTAGAAGCTATGTATTGAGGGCCTACTATGTGCCAGACACTGTGCTAGGGACTAGGAATACAACAATGAACAAAACAGGAGACACACCTTATTCTGTGCATAATCAGAGAGGCTGTAAATAATTGTTTGCTGTTGATCCTAATTATGATAAGTCACAGCCCTGATTGTCTAGACAGAGTCATAAATAGTGAGATTCCAGGCTGAAACTGACCTACTAAATTGGAGTCCTACATGCTGCAACATAGTATTGCTGGGCTGGTCATGGGTGGAGCCCCAAGATGACTAGGGGATATTGAGGGAAGGCAAATTCCGCAGAAATTTGCTGGAAATTACACTGGAACACATTGTAATTCTAGTTTAAAATGAGATTTCCATTTATTATTTCTTTTACTTGTTACAATATACTTTGTGAGTAGAGAGAGAAAACAATATTCCTATTTTATTGTTGGAAAACCAAAGCCTAGAAACAAAGTAATTTATCTACTTAGGATGTATAGCCTGGGCTTAATATTCCTATCTCCTCATTTCTCAGTCTGCTTCATGAGTTGTCCCTCAGGCTGTCACCAGAGATGTGCAACATATCTGAGCAAAACAGAGCCACAGTGACTGGCCCTAAAACAGGTTGCTACTTCTGTCAAAGGGAAGGATAGAAAGGATACCCCTTGAAGCCTTCTCAGTAACACCGAACTAAATGAGCAACAATTGGCAGTAGTGATCTCAGAGTGAAAGCATCTTATTTTCAAAAGGTCCCATACAGGTTCAAAAATACTCAAATGTGCTTACTCATTTTTTTCTCCTGTTAGAAGAACGAGGCCAGGTGATATAGATTGGATATGCTGCATTTAATTCTTTAGTTTTAAATTCTAGAAAGCTAACTCCTTCAATTGATAAATTAGTCTATGCCGAGAACAGTGAAGATGCATTTTGACTAAATACTAAATATTCAGGTTTTATGTAGATGAAGAGTATTGCATCTATCAAACTGCCTTGATATTTTTAGAATCTTAGAAGATTAAGCATTTTAAACGTTTGTTTTGTAGACTATGAATGTTCACTAAAAAAGAAAAATCAGGCAGTTTATTTGGTAGCAGGCATTATCACCAGCCT